AAACGAAAAATCTTCCCGGTTTTGTGTCTTTCTGACTGCCCTCACTGTTCCACGTATGGGAAATGTTGAGAGAGAAATAAATTAAATTATTTATCCGGAATAACAATGTAGGTAAGCAACAGCTTATAATTTTTTTCTTTGTTCTGCCGCAGATTGACATAGAGTTCATAATAACTGATGGATCCGTCAATACAGTACTGCGTCCGGTTATCAACGTCTGCGCATGTCAGAACCAAGGAATTTGTACGTCCGTCGAGGAAGACAATGGTGATAGCGATGATGACAGCAGTGACGAAAGATTCAATATCCTCTCTTGTGTCTGTCAGAATGGCTATACTGGAGATCTCTGTGAAACAGATCTTGACGCGTGTGAGGAGAATTTCGAGCCGTGTTACCCAGGCGTGACTTGTAACGACTTGCCGCCACCCGCCAACGAGACGGGATTTCAGTGTGATCCCTGTCCAAGTGGTTATTCTGGGGATGGAATACAATGCCTAGGTACAGATATCACTGATATCACACACAATGTTATATTATCCTTAAAACAAGGTCCGAGGCTGTGCATCTGTAAATCTTCAAATTTTGGAAGGGTGGGAAAGGAAAGATGTGTTAACGATCTTGCAATCGAGCCAGACAGGAAAGGACAGAGAGAATACGGATATATGGAGGCTTTTTCATCTCAAATAGGATTTAAATTGTCACCAATATGGCCTTAGATAGGATATCATTTGGCACTTTCGTGCGGTTTGTCAAAGATTTTTTTTATCATTGTTATTATCGATCTCATGATAATTGCAATTTGGATAACATCGAGAATTTCAAGCACTTCTGAAATTGCTAACATGGGCACCCCTTAGGTAGGGCTGGAATAAAATAGGATATATAATTTTGTGTCAAATCGGAAGAAAAGGGCAGAAAAATACAAGGAACAAGCAATTATGTCGTAGATATCTTTTCCCTCAAACCATCAATGAAACAAAGGAGTTTTCGATTATTTTTGTCATTGTTTTTGACTAATTGCTAGTTCACACATGAGTTCATACAAAATGTATTTACCTTTAGACGATGACGAGTGCGCTTTGAACACCGACGGATGTGATCATAATTGCATCAACACTCCTGGATCCTTCGTGTGCACCTGCAATTCCGGATTCTTCCTTGATTTGGACCAAAAGACGTGTCAAGGTAAGGCGCTTTAGCTACCAGTGGGGAAATACTGTTACATCACGTGTCATACATCCACAGTTTATTGTTAGGAAATAGTTTTGGCCGAGTGGCTAGGGCTGCGGTATTGAGATCCGGAGGTCGCGGCTTCAAGTCCGTTCTGCACGTTATGTGGATGTGTTTCCCGGGATTGAAGTTGAACACTCAAAAGTCACCTTGGAACGTGAAAGCTACGTGGCATTTTCCTCTACCTCGAGGCAGTTGTTTCGAAATTTGGAGCTTTTCTGTTTTCTCCATTATGTTTGCATTCTCCTTCATGCTTTGCAAGAGCTTTTCTTACTCCATCAGCTAATGATCAAAAACCATTCAAAAGTAGTGACGTCATACCAGTGGTACAAGGTCTATGGCCCCTAAGACCCCTAAGACGGTCAGGCCTACCGTCTAAACGATGACTGATCTCACCATAATCATGTGATTTCCCTACCCTCGGTTTTTTCAAACACAAATCCAAAATGACCGGTGATTGTCGCGTTTTTAAATTCCTCCGGCTTCGTGTGGACGGAAAACGTTTGATGCAATTTGAGAGTGAAACCTCCGTTTTCAAATTCCTCCGACGTAGTGTGGATGGGTCCTCAGATAGCCCTGTATACGCGTTTGAGAATGAAAAGGTGAATATACAGTGCGGTGCACGTGGTTCTCGTAATATTGACCGTTTTTTTTTTGTTTTTTTTTTATTACTATTTTATATTTAGATGTGGATGAGTGCTCCCCTGTCGGTGATTGTATGCACATTTGTGAGAATACAGTTGGTAGTTATACATGCAAGTGTAATTCAGACTTTAAAGTGGACGACACAGACCCCAAGAAATGCGTCCGTAAGTACATTTTAGCTAATTGAAGTGATCCATTGTGAAACTGTGTCGATACGCCGATCTGATTGATTCTTTTATCGAGAGGCCTCGTAAGCCTACGTTGCGCGGGGAAAATTATATTTTTGTATCAATTTTTCAGTATTGTTATTTTGCTGAAGAATAACTTCAGCTGCAGTTTTTTGACTGCAACCCTTTTGAGTTCTCTTCTTTTATATGAGAGGCAGACAATTTGGCTGTAGCTCTGCTACTTTTACCTTGCAGAAACAGTACTTTTTAACAAGGCTGTCTGCTACTTTTATTTCTTACTCAGCCGAGAATCCTTGTCAGCAAGATCAACATGGATGTGATCACATTTGTTATCAGTCTGATGGGGAAGACAAGTGTTCGTGTAGGGTAGGATATGAGCTGAATGGTGATGGAAAGACATGCTCAGGTATTTATAAACAATTTCATAGGAAATTTGTACCGAGTGACCGACCGACCGATCAACCAGCTAGTTAGCTGCTTACTTGCCGCTTGACTTTTAAGGATTTTTGAGTGTAGAATTGATTTGATAAGCCTGTTCGAGGTCCGTACTATAAATTACCGACCGCTTGCTTCGCGCCTGGGCCATAAATCGAAGGGGAAAGAACGAGGATCCGTAGCTTACAGTACGGACCGAAAAGACGAGGTTAGTAGGATAGAATCATACTATAATTTCTGACGCACGTCGAAAGTAAAACGAGTCAATTTGAAATCATTGTTATGTGTTAGTACGTTTCAATACACAATTTAAAGTAAAAGAAAGTTAAACTTTCACTTGCTATAGAAGTTAATAACACTTGGCGATAAATCACGAAACATTTTGTCAACACAATCAGCTTTAAATTTTAGCGGGCCGTACAGTAGAAAACGGCCTGCTAAATTGACCAATCACAACGCGCGTAGTATCTGAGAGATCTATAGTATTAACATTTTATGCTGGTTTTCTGTTATTGGTACCCGCTTTGTGATAAGACCGAAGCGGTCGTTTGGGTTGCTCAGTTGTTAATCGCTGTGAATTTGTTCCCTTTTTTAATAGACATAGATGAATGCACCACTAACCAACACCGTTGCGATCAGAGTTGTAGTGATACCGTGGGAAGTTACACGTGCTCATGCGTGAATGGTTTTACGCTGGACGCTGACGGCTTCACTTGCAACGGTAATTTCAACCTACGTAAATAAAGGCTTTACCAGGGTGCGCTTACAACTGAGGCTTATAGGACCTGCAGAGATTTTTTCTGTCTCGTAAATGTTGTGTTTAGAGTATTTCACTTCCAGCATAATGATAGTCAAAATTAAAAGGAAAAACACGTACATGTTCTTGTAACATTCATTAAAATGGTACTTAGGGTGGAAATTTATTCTAGTTCTCTACTTGTTAACACCTCAGATGTTGACGAGTGTCTGGCGTGGACGTTCGACTGCGAGGATGAGTCCCAGATGTGTGAGAACACCTATGGTTCTTACAAGTGTGTGTGCGCTGAAGGGTTGTACTGGATTGACGGCAAGTGTAAAGGTGAGATATCTATCTTATTGAGACGCATTGTAAACCACTGTGCTCGGACGAAACCCTATTTATCACACAAAAGGTGGTACCCTGTACCGGCAACATTCTTACCCCCTCTACTAGAAGTAAAAATTGAGAACAACATTCAAACCTGTCTGCGTTATTCATAGCGAAGTCAAAACGTCATGAAAACATTTTTTTTTCTTTTTTGCGTCGCATCTCTCCAGCGTGATATGGGTAAAATCCTAAAATACTCCCTGCCACTAAAATAGGTTGGCTCCCTCGAGTGTTGTGATTAAATCAGGAATGGAGAGTCAAAAACCAGTCAGCGGGAACAAATTAATTAGACACAAACTCCGCATGATTTTAAGAAGATCTGAATTTAAATTGACGTTTCATATGACCGGTTACAAAAATTTGTTACAATTAAAATTAAAACTTAAAGAGAGGTAAAGGTAACGACTTGACTATAATTTACCTAATGCAAAGACATCTGGGTGGATTACTTAGCGTATGGTACATATCAACATTTAGCAATGTATTTCACGGTTAGCTAACGCTGTGCACAATCTCAGTTTTGAATAAATATTTGACAACGACTGTGTTGAACTCTATGAAAAGAGAGTTAGACCGCCTGTGTTACTTACCTGTCATGGTCTTTAGTCACATCTCGGAAAACCTTTCTTTTCCTTCGCAGGACTTGAGAAAGGTGAAGAACCGCCGCCGCCTCCTACCGCCCCACCACCTCGCACACCATCGGAAGAGGAGAGAAGCCAGTCCGTGAACTTGGACGTCCAGGGACTCAACATCTCAGAGGTTAGAAATTTAAACTTTCTTTTGATCCGGACGCTTTAAAGAAAATATCTACAGTCGCGTTTGTTTAAGAAACCAGTTAGTTATATGTCTATTCCACGGCCTTTATTTGCAAAGCGTTGTATAACCAACCAGGAGACTAGTTCGTTACTGACTACGAAAAAAGACATTATTTGAGGCTTTCGATAATTACAAACGGCGCTTGGTAGTTGGTAGGTTAGGCAAAGCGGCTGGGAGTATTTCTACTCCCCCCTGGAAGGGATGCTTCTCCATCGCAGGGTTGCCCCCAGCTTTAAATTCGCTGGTGCCTATTTGTACACCGGGGTGGACAGAGGCACTGTGAGAGTAAAGTGTCTTGCCCAAGAACACAGCACATTGGCTCGAACGTAGACCGCTCGATCCGGAAACGAGCGCACTTACCATGAGGTCCCCGTGCCTCCCCACAAACGGCGCATAGCCTTTTAATAATTACTGACATTTATTGACTTGTTTTCTTTAGTGGAACCAACCACTGGAAGAGACGTTCAAGACCACTTTAGCAGAGGTAGCTACCGCACACTGCGCGGAAAATAATTGTCAATCGGAGGCAACAAGGTATTGATTTATTAAATCAAGTTAATTGATAATTGATTCCTTGATCACTTTAATAATTGTTTAACGAGTATCTTTCCAACCAAATGTAATGCGGGAAAGTTTAATTGCACCACAACTTTGGCTCCCCCAAAGTCCTCCGTTAAACCTTCCTGGCTTAGGACTTATGACTGTAGCGTGACACGATTGAAAACTTTGCAATAATTCCCATGAAACCACGGCAAAACTAACTTCTGAACGCTGAGTCGAGGCGAAGTTCGACCTTGTTTGGAACATTAAAACTCGCGACTCGCTAGTGAACAAGTGACTCCTGTTCCGAGAGAAACTGGCGCCTAGAGTGTCGGGATAAGGAAAACTAATGCGGTAGTCTACGAGTGATCTCCCTTTCGCTTAGTCCGTTTTGTGTGAAGTGAAAGACAACTGCGAGAAAAAAAATGGCAGCGCGAAATCCTGCTAGCAAGAATTGCGCTTCCCGCTTCATGGATTTCACGGGGCTGTTTTTTCCTCGCTGTATTTTTACGGTCACGCTCGACAGACTAAAGTAGTTTTAAAGTGGGAATGTCCAAATTATTTCGCGCCACCCAAGAAGAATGTTTGATTAACCTCTGATTAGAGACCCTTTAGTGACCTTTATACCCCGTTCTTTAGCTCTAGACGTAGAAGAGCGGCAAATTATGTGACATTCACCGAAGATCAAGTCCATCTTCTGCCCGGTTATCCAAAGCAAATATCTACAGTCCCTCTTCTGGCAAGTGTGGCATTTTATCTGCAGTTCCCACCCGGATCATCAAGCGCTGTCATACAGAAAGACGTTCTGGCCTCCATCGTTAAGGGTTCTTTGACAAAGATTTCCATCGCTATTAATGCCAACATTACGAGTGTAGAAGTTCTAATTGCTGACACGACGACATCGGCATCGACAGTGCACACAACTTATCCCACAGAGAAGGAAGAATCCAAGACGATGTATTACATCATTGGTGGTTGTGTCGCTGGCGCTGTGGTTCTTATTATTATTGTCATTGTGGCTGTCTGGTGTTGCAAAAGGAAAAATGGGTATGTGATTATGATACAGACTTCGCATAACCATAAGACCAGGGCATAAAGCCCTGTCCAAACGGGAAATGTTTGGACATTTTGCCGTTTATAGACCTTGTTTGATCATGTTTGGTCGTGTTTGATAAAATTTGAACGACGACAAACTTTTGATCAAACATCGCAAAACATTTTGTTCGTTTGCAATCTTAAACATAAGGAAGCATGAGTAAGGCTCGTCCACACTACGCCGAAGGAATTTGAAAACGGAGGTTTCCCTCTGAAAACGGATCAAGTGTTTTCCGTCCACACCACGCCGGAGAAATGTAAAAACGCGACAATCACCGGTCAGTTTGGATTTGTGTTTGAGGAAAACTCGGCCAGGAAAATCACGTGATTATCGTGACGTCATCGTTTTCGTTTTTAAATGTTTTCTGTCAAGCTGGCGTTTTCAAATTCCACCGGCGTATTGCGAACGCTGCCTTAATGTACTGCTTTCACGATGATAAAAATGGCACTGACTGCAATAAAACATTTGATGCTCTCCAAATAAAGTAGTTTTCAGTGGCGGATCCAGACACTGAGCTTGCCTTGCGGGCTTTTCTGTTCTTTCTGTGATTTCTTTTTTTAACCCAAAATAAGGGGGGGCCCGGGCGTGGCCGAGTGGTTAGGGCGCCGGACCTGAAATCCGGGGTTCGCGGGTTCAAGTCCCGCTCTGACAACTCAGCTGGAGTTGTTTCTCGGTAGACCCTAGTTGAACTCCTCGGTCATGCTTGTAAATGGCTAATTGTTCTGCCTCCCGCCGGTTGGGATTTTTAACCATGTTATGTTCATTTGCATTATTTGTTTCATCATTTGGTTTCATTGGCCCTGAAAAGCCCCATTGGGGGAGAGGTCAATTAAGATATTTATATTTGTATTTATTTATCCTTATGACAAACAATGCATTACATCTTAGACGGGTATCAGCTCCGTAGTGCCCCCTAGGCATTGGAAGAGGTTGTCAAAGTAGGTGATTGTCAGTGGTTTTATGAATCTCACCTTTCGTGAGAAGGGGAAACAAAAAACAGAAAAAACAAGAACATTGCGGATGATACGAATTATTATCGTTTCTTCTGATTATTATGTTTTTCATTCTTTGTGCGTGTTAGGGTTGCAAAACAACGGGTTGACAGTGAAATTTCAATTGAAGACAAAGGCGGAAAGATGGAAATGGACGTGGTGAATTACGGATACCACACAGAGACTACCCATCACATATAAACTGTAAAGTTATCCACACTTCAGTTGTCGAGCAACGATTATCTGCAAATCAGCTTTTGTTGACGCACACGCTTTATTCCAAATTTTATATAATATTGCATTTAAAAAACAAACAAAAAAAAACACCGAAAAGACAGCACTCGAAAGTACTCGAACAATTATAATCAAGCCGGTATGACACAGTCTGTTGCTAAGCAACCTCGAGACAAAGACTGTAGGCCCAATATGGTCTCGATTAGTCGTCAACCACCAAATCAAGTTTAGTTTAAAAAGCATATATCAGATCTGCACCTTTGTACTGTAGGTTTGGCCAAGTCGTCTTGGTCCACGGTAGAACGCATCACTATGCTGACTTCTCGTTATTGGTCTACAGGCAGTGGTGTATTTCCACATTCTTTCCACGTACTTGTGTGTTTTTTGTGCGTTTATAACCAGAGTGAGTTACGTTATGGAGAAAGCTTGTGATTTCAAGTAACGGTTTTTTTAGTTAGAATGGAGTTTCACTGGAGAAAAAAAGGGAGAAAGAAGCGGTTGTGTCTGTTGTTTCCATGAACGTTCGAAACTTTTTTTTTAACTGTCAATATTGTTAGCTGTAATCCGTCAAGTATTTTTCTTCGCGCGCAATTGGTCTAAACGCGTCACGTAACTGAATATGCCCCAGCTAAAACTGCGGAACATCCGAGTGACATTTCCCAATTTTCAAAACTGCGCGTGTTGGGAAAATTATTTGAAGGATAATAAACACAATAGCCTCCATTTGGCGCGAAATATACTCGGACATTATTTGTTCCTCAAAGCTCGCAGTTTTAACTGTTCGCTTCTCGGAACAGATGATGTCCGCGGACAAATATCCCAACATATTTTCGCGCCGAATGGAGGCTATTGTTTATTTAGTTTTATCGAGACCGTCTTGATAAGGTTTGCCTGTAGTGTTAAGTTCTAGTCTAAGGTAATCCTCTGACAATATTGTTAAAACAAGCCGTGAGAGGTTTCTGTTATTAAGTAATAAAAAAAAAATTATTATGCCTGTGATATTGTGTCATTGCAAATCAAGTCACCACAATTTCTTTTAGGGATACCTGAAAATCCCGGGTAATAAACCCCACCCCTTCTCTTATAGCCCTCATCTCAGGTGTAAGCGCCTTTGTTACAGGACTATGTATTTGTTAAAGGAGAAATGATACGGTTAAAAGCCATCAGAGCAAGAAATTAAATTGAACTGAGTACTCGGCTGTTGGTTTCTTTCACATAATTAACCACCGCCAGTTTTGTAAGACTGTTCATTCGCCTTTTTTGACATTATAGATGTAACTATCTTTTCATGTTAAAATTTGCTAAAACGTGTGGCGTTAGAAAACTACCTAAAATCCAACAGCACATCGCCCCCCTTCCACCTCCTTCTCCCCCTGTGTGGATCAGTTCTTGCTAAATCTCTCACACTACATTTCGAAGTCCACACGAGTACGAGTCCGTCTGTAGGTAAGGTGAAAATTCTTATATATTTTTACCGTCCACATATAAAAGCCTTCGAAAAGTTACTTTTCAATGTGGATAAATTAAACTAACTCAGTTTACGCATTCTCGTGTGTAGAGCATCTATCTATTTTCGAACGCAGACGTCATACCAAGTAATAAGAAATCTTATGTCCCTCCTGCGATTGCTTTTATCGTTCTCGCGAGGACAGGTGTAAGCGATCCATCGTGAACCATCGCACGAAAGTATTACGAGTTTACAGATAGTGAACATGTACGTGTGGGCATAGTCTAAGCTTTATGTACAAGTTCTCAGTCATGGAAATTCAACTTGTTGTTTTTTGTTGTTTGGTTGATGATTGGTTCTTATTTTACGATAGTGAACTGTCTGGTTTCTTTGGAGAATTTGCATCATCTGTCGTTATGTAACTTTAAACCTGTATTGGGCGGACACCCTCGGGACCCATGCTAGTGTCCGCTTAATACGGGGTGTCCATTGAAAACAGGTTCCCTCAGAGTTCGTCTTAAAAGGGTCATATTATTATTTTTCAGTATTAAAAGACCTTGAAAGGATCAAATAGCATTCTCGTGAACGGTCGAGAACTCTGAAATACCGTATTTCCATAAACAATGACAAGTCTATGAGGTAAAGCGATTTAAGTATACAGTAACAGTGTCTATATTGATCGAATCAGGTGAAGGTTTACAAAATCAAACAAGAACAAAAGTTCTGTAAAAACAAAACCGAATAACAAAATATTGCATTTTTGTGACAGCTCAGTTTGTTGGCAAACTTAATTGACGGATCTGCTAAAACGTGGACAAACAAATCATGCATTCTTTTTGCAGTGTCCGTTTAATACAGGTTTCTAACAATAGAAATGACTATAAAAGTCAAGTTCAAGGTGTCCGGATCCGCGTTCGCTTAATAGAGGTGTCCGTTGAATAGAGGTATTGTTTACAGTGAATGTAGGAAAAGAAAAATGGGACTTGCACTG